GGGCGGCGGAGCCCCCGCGGGAGGGGACGGGGGAGGAGGGCAGAGGCGGCGCGGCCGGATTTGAAGGAATCCGTGATCGTTTACAGCCTCGGGTCCTTAAGAAGTAGCATTTACACATCTCCCGCCCCCGCGAACGTGTGAGATACGGGTCCCTCTCTCAGCATCCCCCTTCGCAAATGTTTACAAAGCTGCCATAAATTTAACTGTTCGCTGCCTGCCCATACTTGCCGCCCGGCGTGCCCTGGGGATGGCAGGACAGCCCGTCAGATGGAAGCTGTTAGAAATGAACCAGACCACAAACGTCGGGTTCCCGCTCCGGGGCCCAGCGCCAGCGGGTCCCCCGGGGACACGTCCCGCCGGGGCAGGGACACGCAGGGCCAGGGGCTCGGAAGGAAGCGTTGCAGCTATCCCAATTTTATCTGGGCAGCTCTTCGTTAACCTTCAGGTCATGAGAAAAGCAACTGCCTCTTATGCAGCGGCGTGAGGACAGCTGCTTTCTGAAGTTACACTCACTGCATAATAAATATTGCCTACTGCAATTTAAAACTGCTCCTTGGTTTGCTTTTTGCAGAAGAGAGAAGAAACAGGTCACTAGTGTTTGCCTTCCCAACTTGACAGCTGCTAGACCTGCCTAACTGTATCTGATTAAGCACAAACAAAATACAGATATTTGCAGAATATATGTTTTCAAGCCAGTGAAAGCAAAAAATCTGTGCGTGTTTGAGAAAAACATCCATTATGTCAGCTGCAAAGAAAGCCAGTTTCATTTGGTGTGTGACGGGTTCCTCTCTGAGGTTTCTTCAGTTTGGCACTTCCAGGCTGCTCCTTCCTCTATCAGCCCATGGTGGTCAGCCAACTTGCTGGTCAGCCAGACTGTAGACACCGCTGTAGATGGCCACTTATCTCAGCAAAAGTTGTTTTCCCCCATGTGACTAATGCAACAATACCCTTATAAAATATATGCATGCTCCTGGCATGGGGATCAAGTCGACCTCTGTGATCATGGAGTTTTTTTCAAGAAAAACAGATTGCAGCAAGGAAAAACCAAATGGTGACTAGGAGTTGAGCTCTACTGCCAACGTACCCTAGAAACCAGTACCTGTAGGTGGGCAAAGCTCTGACTGCGCAGAGCCCCGCTCTGCTGCATGTAAAGCTCTCTCAAGAGTTGAGCACGAATAGTGAGGTAATGCCTGGTGACAGCAATCCACCGTGTGCCAGGTTGCTGCCCGACAGACCTTTGGAGCTGGCTTGCCTTCTCACTTTGTGCAAGAAACTGTAGTGCTCCTTGATGATTTTTTCTCTCATTCTTCTGCGGCACAGGGGATGGTACATTTCTTCCCCTAGTTTCTTTTCTGTGAGCACCTTTGTCCTTATATTCTTAGAAAAGGGGATTATTTCCCCCTCTGCAGGGGCCAGCCGGAGTTCAGCACGGTTGCTAGGGCTTGGAGCTTGGCTCTCTCGCCAGTGCCATCCGTTTGCTTTTCATGCTTCATTTGGTCAACATTTAGCACGTAACCAACGTTTAGAGCATTTTCCACCTCAAGGAAACAGCAAGAGTTCTTTCAACTTCTCTTGCTCTTTGGAGCCATTGATCTGTGCAATATAGCTCCTCGCTGCCAGGCTTGATCTACTTCTCTTTTCTGGGATCACAGAGCAGCAGAGAAAATAGCTGTCCTGGTATAAGTGCGGGGTTTTTTCAAGGCTTCCCCGCAGACAAACAAACCTGCCTCTTGGGTCACTTCCAGAACAATCTACAAATTTAAAAGGGCACTGGTGAAAAAGTCTCATCTCTCTCTCTCAGACAAGTAATTTCCCCATGTCCTTGTGGGGGAAACCAAGTGCAATATTCTTCAAAGAAAATAAAATAATTCTACCATTACAAGAGGGCTTAAAATCCTAAAGATTGACCCTAAGTATCTTACTGACTTCTTCTGTAACCTCAGTGACTGACATGAATTGTCTTCAAGTTTTATTTGCCATATTCTTTTCTGATAATCCTTTTGTTTCTTTAAATCTTGTCTCAAATATTCAGGAATGCAGAGGTCTCCTAGCAGTGCAATTCAGCAAGAGTTTGGTCGAAAGCTTCAACCTAAATTTTGTAGTTAGCTGTTGCAGCTGTAGCACAATGAATAGACACATTCAACAAGATAAATAGAGTGGATATTTGAATCTCTTAGTTGGCCAGTCAGAAGGACAATTAATAGACAATTAACAGACAACAGTAATTTGAAATCATAATCTTAAATCTTGAGGGATATAAGGTAAGAGCTGACTAGATGTACAAGAAATAGATAACAATCCCAAAAATCTCAGTGAAGTAGTTGAATAGAAGCTTTTGTTCTCTGAAATGAAAAGGGTTGGCACCTTTAGAAGTCATTTTCTGACCCTTATTATAAATTCCTGTTTGCAGAATCTTTGTGGAAAGCTTTGGCTAGCTACTTCAGCTGACGGATTACACAGGACATTCTGTGAAGTCATTTTAAAAAAGGGATTCATACGGATTATTGTGATACATGAATTATCATTTCTTCAATATGACAAAAAGGTAATCCCCCAAAATTCCTTCTCTGAACCTGTGACACATCTGAAATCTGTTATCATTTTTTCCCAATAAATTTCACTTTTGCTTTTCCTCAGCATATCATTGCTGCCCAGCTGGCAGGGGTTGGTTGCAATAAACATTTGTCTCAGCCTACTTTTTTCACTGCATGTGTTCCTGTGTATTTGTTAGACATCTTCTCAA